TATTTAGCTTAAGGTTAAATGTAATAAATAAATATTTTGCTGAGCTAAGATAGTTATACCATTGATACTAAAAAACTATTTTATACAACTTAAACTTTATATAATATTTATCCTACGCCAATCCCATATTTTATATAATATTTATTTTCTAGCTTTATTTTTTATGCTGCATTAATGATATTTTTATTTCTTTCCTTATTATTTATACGTTTCTAATAAAAAGAATACAAAAGCAATTTCCCTACTGCCTGCTATAATTTCATTTTCCACGTCTCATCTCATGAAACAAGAAAATGCCCACCACGTAGCACCTTAATTCTCCTACGTGCCCTTCACAAAGTCACCACACCATGCAGATTTTACACAAAAGCCATCTTTAATTTCACCTATAACAATATCAATTGCATTCTTTTATTAATCGGTCTTTAATTATGAATTTTTTTGTGGAAACATCTTTAATCATTCATCTTAGATTTGCATAACTAAAATAAACATTTATATTTAGAGATCAATCTTTCTGCAAGACCCTTGGTCTTCCTTCGTCTCCACTGAATTGTGGGGTCCTTACAACAACAACTGGAACATTGCTCGTCCTTCCGGTGACCGTCATGACATCACCTCTTCTCTAGTTTACGCTCACGTTGACTGCCGTGAGACTGGAACAACTCATATCTTCCGTATTGGTCTTTCTGGCTGGGGCTTTTTTACTACAGAGGGTTAAAAAAATTTAGATTTTATCAAAGGGTTAAAAATTTTAAATTTTTTCAAAATGGATTAAAACGGGGAAATGGAAGAATTTCAGCCAGTTTTTTTTTAAATAAAAAAACGTGCTATGAAGCACAATTTTTTTTTTGAAAAAGATAATTTTTTTAAATATATTTTTTAATAAATAATTATTTTCAATTGAATTATTAATTTAATAAAAAATAAAAATATTTAGATAAATGTAATTTACTATATTTATATTAAATATTACATGTATATATATATTATCACAGAAAAAAAATAATTGTGAGACCATGTTCTACAAGATTGTCTTCTTATTTGTCGTCTTAGTCTATATGATTGGTCTTTAATAAGCATTTATTGTGCTTGTGTAGCGCACATACGACCCTATGATAGTTGAGGTTGAATGTTTGTTTGTCTATCATCATCATCCTCTTCTTCATTTGTATACTGCATAGAGGGTATATTGGGCATAATAGTAAAAAAAGGTGTTTGATTGTATGTTGATGTTAGTGTCATGAAAGAGGTGAAAAACATGTTTGTTTCAGATGAAAACAAAGTAAATATATGAGAAACTTTGTCCTCTAAATTGAAATTGCACAGGTAAATTTTGGAGTTGACCAACATATCCAAAATATGGATAAGATTGTTGATGACTCCACTGACCATCATGTCAATGACTCGACTGACCATCATGTCAATGACTCGACTGACCAATATGAAAATGACTTGATTGACCAGCATGGACATGATTAGGTTCGCCAATATATTGAGGTTGTTCCTACTGCTCTGTATTGTACTGTTAAAAAATAAAATCAATATTAGTTTGATATGAATGTTATATATAAAATAAAATTATTGATATAATTACTTCTTCATCTGAATCTTCTTCTTGGGTAAAGGAAATATATTTGATAATATGTTGAAAATACCATAATATATGTTGTATTCTCACGCAAGTGGTCATTCTAGCTGAACTCGTTTTCTTGAATTAGTTGATTGTTACGAGTCATTCCACATAATAATCCAAGTTTCATGGTATTGAGGTCAAAATCTATCAATTTTACCTCTCATGTCTTCTCTGTGAAGTTTGTCAAGATTGACCAGGTCTTTTGAAATTGGTTGACGAAGTTCAAATTGCCTCGTAACCCGATTTGTTAGATAAGGCTCAACAATAGCAAAACATATTATTGAAACTATAACACGACTCACAGGAGAAACCTCAACATTTGTTAGTCATTGTATCTCAAAATGACGATAAGGAGTCCGAGAAAAACTATATTAAATTTTATTTAAATTTTTTTATTAGTTACTTTTTATTAAATTTTATAAATTGTTTACATTTTTTATTTAAGTATATTTTATTTAAATTTTTTAGTCATTTACTTTTTATTAAATTTTATAAATTATTTAAATTTTTTAGTCATTTACTTATTTTATAAATTATTTAAGTTAATTTTATAATATATATTTTTTAATTCATGGTCATTAATGATCTTGTTATTCAAGATATTGTTGAAGATTTTACTGATGAAAAAGAAGATGATTTTTTTATTGCTACAATGTATATGAATGATGATGTTTTGCTACGTGCTCGACAATCGTCAAATCAATTTACCTTGACAAGCGAAAACAACATCTAGTAGCTCGGTATTTTTCATCAAAACAGGCAACAATAAGTGCAATAAAATAATTTCATATTGATGAGGAATACAAATTTTCTATTGTTGAGTCTAAAATTGACAAATACATTGCTCATTGTATACATTATGACAACAGGTGTCAATGAAGAGTTCGTGTTTCATACAATAAAATTCGTACCCAATGGGAGATTAAGAAAATTGAAGCGTTACATACATGTTTTAGTACAATATTAAACCCATATCATCAAAACTTAGACTCTTCCATCATTGCTAACATTATTTTTGAATTAGTTAAAACAAATCTCTCTGTTCCTATTAAAACTTTGATTGCAGAAGTCAAAGATAGACATGATTATACAGTGATTTACGTAAAAGCATGGGTAGCAAACACATGTATAGAAGGGTTCAAATATTGTAAGTCAATTATTCAAGTTGACAGTATATTCCTATCAGGGAAATATCATGTTACGTTATTGATTGCAACTTCACAAGATGACAATAGAAATATATTTTCACTTGCATTTGTAATTGTGAAAGGTGAAACAAAAAAGCATTAATATGATTTTTGCAACTTTTAAGATATTACGTTACACCTCAAAATATTTTATGCATGATAACAGACAGACATAAAGGAATATTGTCAGCTTTACAATAAAAAGATCTTGATTGGAATGATCTCACCTCAATGTATTGTATTCGTCATATTATCTCAAATTTCAACAAAAAATTCAAAAATGTTGATTTGAAAAGATAGCTCATCAATCTAGGTAACATCTTCTAACGTAGACAAATTCTTTTCTCTAAATAAAATATGTCTAAAATAATATTTTTCTATGTAGGATACGAGATGAAACAACTAAAACTTTTAGCAAAAATTATCTACTTTAAGGTATGACTTTCAACAACAAATGTTCTGGTTAGATGAGATTCCACTGAAGAAATTGACTCAAGCTTATGATGGAGGGAAATGATATGAACATATGATAACAAATCTTGCTGAGTATATAAATTTTGTTCTCAAAGGAACACGAACTTTACTTATATCTGTCCTAGTAAAAACAACTTTTGAAAGAGTTAAATCTTGATATGTGGAAAGAGACATGAAAACAAATGCATGTTACGAGATGGACATGATTACCCTTATCCATACCATATTACTACATTGCTTAACGAAAACGAACAACGTGCTCGAATGTGTAATTTTCAAAAGTACAATCGAAATAATTATGAGTTTGACGTACAAGACCAATCCAATCCTCAGCAACGTCAAAGATCAATAAGTTACACAGTTCGATTAATCAATGGTGATGTGATTGTGAAAAATTATAAGCTCTTCGACTCCCTTATTCTCATGTTATTGTTGTTTGTTCTTCTTATCGTTTACAACTGACAACATTTATCGATACGATTTATAACTTACAAAGTATTCATAAGACATATGAATTTTAATTTCATCCGGTTTGAAATGAAGATTATTATTCTATTTATACAGGTCCAAATTTCTGTCTTGATCATAATATGTGTCGAAACATATTAGGAAGATCTATAACTAATTGGATTCGAAATAAAATGGATGTACAAGTTGGAAATAAATTAAAAAATATTTCTTTTGATGAAATAAAAAATATAATCGTATAAACTGTCCATTTTAACAATAAATTTATATTTTTTTAATAATATAATATTTTAATATAAATATAGTGAATTAAATTTAATCATATCTAAATAATTTTGTTTTCTATTAAATTAATAATTCAATTAAAAAATTTATTTAATAAATAAATATTTAAAAAAAATAAAAAAATCTTATTTTAGAAAAAAAAAACAATAGTATATTTTTTTAATATAAATCATTAAAATCATATTTAAAAACACCATTTTTGTTAAGATTGTACTTAAGCACGATTTTATATTTAAAAATAAAAATAAAAATTTTTGAAACCATTAAAATTGTGTTTAGAAACATAATTTCAGTCAAAATTGTGCTTCCAAGATTTTAGTACCCCAAAATCGTCACCCCTTACACGATTTACCTCATTTTAGGAAAATTTAAAATCTTTGACCGCACCTAGTAAAATCCAAATTTTTTTTAACCCTTTCTGGTAAAAGAAAGCCTCCGGATGGCGTTCTCATATCTCAGCATTTTCTGTCTCTTAGTTCTCACAAACTTGTGTCTTTTCCAATTAATAAAACTTGCAAGAGCTTATTCTTTAAATCTGAATCAATTTGCATTTTTATTGCATTATAACATCCAGAGTACTATCTGTAGATTGTATTATCTGACATATTCATCACCAAGAACTAAAACCATCTAAGAGGTGTCAGGTTTGGCCAATTACTCACAGGCTTTCTTTGTTTTAGGGTTTGGCCAATTATCTTTAAGAGGGGATTTAAGCAAGATTTTGATGTGAATTAATTCGAGTTTTTAATGAATTAAAATTTAGTTTGTTTATACCCTTTAAATGTGAATCACCACGTCATAATTGTTTGACAAGAACATAAAAATGAAGGAAAAGGAAAAGGAGACAGTTGTTATAGGGTGCGTGATAGGGGTGTGTGCGTTGGTGTCTCGCGGTTTCCGATTCGCGAGGTCTCTTCTGTGCAAGCTGAGCGATTTCTGGGGAAACCGCCATGGCAGGGGTTAAGAAAGAGGATCTGAAGGTGGAGGTGGAGGAGAGTAAGATCCTGCAGATAAGCGGCGAGAGGGTGAAGGAGAAGGAGGAACAAAACGACAAGTGGCATCGCACCGAGAGGCAGTGCGGCAACTTCAAGCGGCGGTTCCGCCTGCCAGTGGACGCCGACACCGACAACATCGGCTGCGCGCTCGAGCACGGCGTGCTCACCGTCACCGTTCCCAAGGTGAACAAGCCTGAGAGCAAGAACGTGAGACAGATTGATGTGGCATGAATATGGAGCGTGATGGCATGATCGATCATGAGAGGTTGTTGTGATGTTTTTTGTGTTGAGTTTTATGTTATATATATGACGGGAGTTGAATTAATGGAAACAACCTACTCGTGTAGTGTGCATATAGGTTCGATCATGTTGCACTTAATGAACGTTTGGTTTGTGTTCCTTTGGTTTAGATGTGTGGAATGGAAGGAAAATTTGAATTTGTAGTTTCTTTGTTGTTCTTTTTTCTTGGGTTTATTTTTTTTCTTTTAAGTTTGGAATGATGGAAAAAATGAAAATGTTTGTAATATTTTGTTCTTACTATCTGATGGGAGTATCTCTTACTAGCACATATAACTTCAATTTGACAAAAAAGTTGAATTAATCAATTATTTATTTATTTTTAAAACGAAGCACCACTTCTTGACCTAATATAATTTTAATTTCTTTACATAATATAACTTCAATGGAATGAAAAAGTTATGTTTATATTAATCAAACGAAGTAGTGCTGTATAGTATGAAACGAAATAGTGTTATATTTATATTGTAGATATCTGTAAATATTTATAGTAGGCGTACGGTAGAACAAATATATTATAAAATTATTTAATTCAATAAATTAACCTCTTATAAACATGTTATGAAACTTGTCGATGATTAACATTGTAAAAGTGGTTTAATTAATTAATGAATCTCCAAGAGAAAAGTCATGTCGTAAAAGAATTGGTCTAAATTTAGAATATATTTAATGTAAACAAAAAGTATGACGTGTTTTTTCAGTTAATTTCTATTTAGATTGGTGGAGAAAATCATATTTAGCTTTAATTTATTCGTTTTTAATTTAAATATTTAGGAAAACCGATGCTTTTTAGGTCATGCTACACTATACATTGAGTTTTTTATTTTAATTTTTTTAAACTGGTAACTAAAAATATATTTAACCAAATATAATATTGTTGATTAGCGTATTAGCAAAAAAATACAAGTGATGTTAGGTAAAAATGATTGGCAAGTTTGTCAAATTTTAAATGTCAATTAATTTTTTAAATTATTTTATTAAACTTAAATTTTTTTAGAAAATTAATTACTAACTTAGTTAATAAATACCATGAAAATAAATGACATATTTATACAATTATATATATAATGCAACTTAATATTTATGTATCATAGTAAAATTGTATCTTAGTAACAATATTACGTTATATTTAATAATAATTTATAAATATTTGTTTAAAACACAAAACAAATATAAAAAATGGAAATTACTTTTTACAATTTTATCTTAAGTATTTAAATTTTAAAACTAGAATGAAACCTTCTAATGATTTCGACATCAAAATGAACATTTATGGGTGTGTGTAGCGATAAACACGACGATAACATAAGGACCACAAGAGAGACGTTAACTAACCACCTACAAAAAAAAATTGAGGTCACCAAAATCCCAAAACAGCACCACTCCAACCACTACGAAATTCGCATGCAAAAATTTCTTCCACTCCCCACTCCAACCACAACAACGAACCGCGGGAACTCTGAACTGTGAATAGAAACACTCCAAAGGAGAGAAAATATGTTACTCCTTCCCGTGTTTTCTCTCTCTCCCTTTCCCTCCTCCGTTTCGACTCGTTCTCTCCGATTTTATCCTCGTCGGAGGCAATCAGCTCCCCGCCGCGCTGTCCAGTGCGCCGCCGCGGACTCCGGAGGCGACGAGTTTACCGCGAAGTCAGGATACCTGTTCGAGCTGACCGCGACTGAGGCGGATTCGCTGGCGGAGTACCGGATTCCGAAAATTGCGGCCATTTATTCGCGGAAGCCTCTGCTTGTGGCTCGCCGGTTGGTCCAGACCGGGCTCGCGTTCGGGAAGTGGTTTGGGCTTCGCTACATCGACACTCTCTTGGACCGCTCCGAGTCAATGTTTCAGGTTTCGTAACGCTCTTTTATTTTTTTGCTTGTGAATTCAGATTAGGAGAGGTGGTGTCGTTTTATTGGAGTAGTGAATTTTGAAGATTGTGCAGGAAATGGTGTGCAGTTATAGTTAGAAAGTAGGAGTTTTTAGGAGTGTTGTTAGAATTGAGCATTTTTAAACTTTTCAAGGAAATGATCGTTGTTAGGATGGAGAGTATTTTTTGAAACCTATGGAATAAGACTATGTCTGGATACACTTTTCATATGCACTTATAGAGTGAGCTTTATAGATATCGAGTGCATAAGTTGATTTTAGTTTGTGGAAAAATTGATTTCATTTTATCTTATTTTCTTTTCTTATAAGTGTTTACAGAGAAGTTTATTGAATAAGGCCTAAGTGAAGATTCTTGAGATTTTTTACTTGTGATATGCATTGGAAAGAACGAAATATATTATTGATCTATTTGTTGTTTGGTTTTGCAGGTTAGAGCGGCAGAGCTGAGGAAGATATTGGTTGAGCTTGGTCCCGTATGTAATGCTGGTTATTTTTTTAGTAGGATTGAACTTTTTTCTTTAACTTGTGCATTTTGTTTTGAACTTTGGCATTTTTGGATTGAGTAATGGCGTAATGCAAGGGTTATTGATGTTTTTGACCGATTCATTCTTGCATATATTGTAAAGTGGAGTAGATTGATAAATTTTGTGACAGCAGTTGTGAATTTATTGCCTATCTGTTTTGATTCTTTTTTCTAGTGGAATTTTTTGTTGGGTTTCAGTCTTGATTTGAGTTGGAACATTTATGGTAAGTTTGATTTCTCCGCTTGAAATGGGGGTTCAGAAATGAATGTTCAATTTTAAACAGAAAACTAACTCTTAAAACTTTTATCCTCAGTTTTTTGGGTTACCGAATTGATCTTACCATAATTTCCCACTCAATTTTCCTCCTCTGTCCCTACTTTTATCTTTATTTTTCTTCTGCATCTTATTTTATTTTCTTGTAACTTGTTCAATAGAGGGACAGAATGAATCAAGTGTTTCAATTCCTAGATATTGATCCTCTAAACTTGGAGGTCTTTCTGATCATGTCATCTAAACAATGTTTACTTAAATATGGTAAATTTTAACTTCTTTCTATCCTAAGCTATGCGTTGTGACACCTCAGCTGTCTTTTTTAAAATGCAATGGAATCCACATAAGTTTCCTTCATCTCCTACTCCATCCTCCTTGGTATGCACTATTTTCCCTATTCTAGGTAGGTTTAGGGGGAGTATAGAGTTTAATGACTAAACTGAGTCTTCAATATTATTATGGACACAATGGATGGATACTACATTGATGCATAATAATTTAGTTTAGCAGTGGTTTCCGTTAAATCAGCATGACCACAAACCAAAACATCTTATTTCTTAATAGCTATTTTATACTACTTTCTTGCAGGCATATATCAAAATTGCCCAGGCTATATCTTCTCGTGCTGTAAGTTTTCCGTTTATCTGTCACATTATTAAAACTGATGCCCATGTTCTTTTGTTTTTTCTGATCTTTGTGATCCTTCTTCCAAGTCTTTCCTGTTTTTACATGTCAATTTCCGCCAAAAAGAAGAGCATAGGTGAAGGAATGCAATGAAAACTGTGATTTACTTGTTGGTGATAAAGCTTTAAATCTCCATCCTCGTTATGCTGTTTAAAACTACATACAACATAAGCAGCAATCAAGATTCCTGTTAATTTTTATCACTGGTGAAAACTACATGCTATGTAAATTAAGGAAACTGTTTTCTTTTCATAGGTATATTCTCAGATCCTTTAGGTTTATTATCATCAGTTCCTTTGGGCACACAACGAAAGAACATGAAAATAAAAATAATTAGGTTAAAGTTTATTAAACATTTGGAATGCTGTATTTCTAAATTTTAGCATTTTAAGCCTCCTCCATCTTGAATCAGATGTCCAAAACACAAATACCTGAATATTAAATATGATGATCTGATCTGGTGTTAAATGTAATTGATTTACAAGTATGTGACTTTAACAAGTGTGATGCTGTCATTTATTTGAATATTCTATTCCAATTTTTTTATTTTTTACCAACTTAGATTTAGACTACAATGCAGATTCTAGTGTGTACATGGGATGTAAATACTGGAATCTGTTATGTTTAAATGTAACTTTATGCTAATTAAATGCTACAAGATCTGCAATTAAGATATGCAATTTGAAAGAAAATTTCCTTGTAGGATTTGATACCACCATCATATCTAGATGAGCTTTCACTGCTACAAGATCGAATAAGTCCATTTTCCTCTGAAGTTGCTTTTAGTATGATAGAAAAAGAACTTGGTTTATCTTTGGTAGAACTATTCTCAGAGATTTCACCTGAGCCTGTAGCTGCGGCATCCCTTGGGCAGGTTCATTTATTTGACATTTTGGTGTATTTTATTTTCTTTTGCTAATGATTGCAGAAATTCTGAGGGGAGTGTGGATTTTCTTAATTTTAGATTTTATTCCCTTAAACTTGCAATTCCTGTCTCTGAAGCATAGGTTTATCAAGCTAGGCTTCGCAAAACAGGACAGGTTGTTGCTGTCAAAGTGCAAAGACCAGGAGTTCAAGCAGCAATTTCCCTTGACATATTAATCTTGCGCTTTATGGCAGGATTGATTCGGAGAGCTGGAAAACTTAATACAGATCTTCAGGTGAAGTTGTATATGTGACTAAGTTGAATATGAAACATAAGAATTTTGATTATATTAACCCAAAAGGTCATGATTGCTACTAAAGCCTCAACTTCAAGACCGATTGGTATGGAATTATTTATTTTTGTATGAACTCACAGTTGTTGGGGGAGGGAGGCATAATACATGCTACTTATATCATATCCTTCAATCTTGTATCTATCCGCATGTGTATGTCATATTTTTTGAAGTTTTATATTACATTGGTTTAGTTAAGAGAGTAAAGAGAGTTAAAAGAGGATTTATAATTCAGTGGGATACTTCACTCCACTCTATGATCTCATATATATAAGATTACAGTATTTAAACAACAACTACCAACCACTAACTACTAACCACTAACCACTAACCATTAACTAATAATAATTCTAACACTTCCCCTTAAATTGTATGTGCCAAGCTTGAAATAAATAAATTTAATTCGAGGTCCTCTTAAAGACTTTGTCAACACATCTGCAAGTTGATCATTGGACCCGACAAATTTAGAGCAAATTTCTTTAGACAACAATTTTTCACGAATAAAATGACAATCAAGTTCTATATGTTTGGTCATTTCATGGAATACCGGATTAGAGGCAATGTAGAGAGCTGCTTGATTGTCACAATACATCTTCATCTGTTGGATCTCACAAAATTTCAGTTCTTGAAGGAATTGTTTCACCCACATTAGTCCACAAGTGAGAGACGTCATTGCTCTATATTCAACTTCAACACTAGACCGGGCCACTACATTTTGTTTCTTGTTTTTCCAAGAAATAATATTGTCTCAAATGAGAACACAATATCCTGTAGTGGAGCGTCTGTCCATAGGGGATCCAGCCCAATCAACATCAATACCCAGATATTTGGGTACCCCCAAACAAACCTTGTCTTGTAGCCTTTTTGAGACATTTTAGGATGTGAACGACAACATTCCAATGATCAGTACACGGATTTTGCATAAACTGACTGACAATTCCAACGGCAAAAAATGGTGAGATAAATGAGTTTCCCAACAAGTCTTCTATATCTCTCAGGATCAGAGAGCAGTTCACCCTGATCCGCCATTAATTTCAGATTAGGATCCATAGGGCTATCTATTGGTCTACAATCAATCATGCTTGTTTCTTTCATGATATCTAAAACATACTTACTTTGGGAGACTACGATGCCTTCTTTTGATTGAGCCACTTCAATCCCTAGAAAGTATTTGAGACAACCAAGATCTTTAGTTTGGAAGTGATTGCATAAATGTTTCTTTAGCAGATAAATTTTATCAACATCATCCCCTGCAATGACTATATCATCCACATATACAATTAAATAAACACATTTTTCTGAAGCAGTATAATAAAAAACAGAATGATCTGTTTCACTTCGTTTTAGTCAAAACTTTGAACAATGTGACTAAACTTTCCAAACCAAGTACATGGAGATTGTTTGAGACCATAGAGAGAACGATGTAACTTACAAACCAAACTAGACTCCCCCTGAGCAACAAAACCAGGAGGTTGCTCCATGTAAATTTCCTCAAGATCACCATGCAAGAAAGTATTCTTGATATCTAACTGATGAAGAGGCCAATGACAGATAGCTGTCATAGTAAAGAAAAGTTGAACAATAGTCATTTTGGGCACAGGAGAAAAAGTATCACTGTAGTCAAGGTCATAGATTTGAGTGTAGCCTTTTGTTACTAATCTAGCTTTGAGTCGATCAACTTCACCTTTTGGTCCAACTTTAATGGCATAGACCTAACGACAACCAACAGTCTTCTTCCCAGGTGGAAGAGGAACTAAGTTCCATGTACCATTGTGCTCAAAAGTCTGCATTTCATCAATCATGGCTTGTCGCCATCCAGGATGATCAAGTGCCTCTTTCACATTTTTAGGAATAGTAATAGTGGATATAGAAGAAACAAAAGAAAAATAGGAAGGAGACAATTTGTGGTAGCTAAGAAAATTATAAATAGGATATGGATTACGAGTAAAGCGAGTACCTTTGCGAATGACAATGGGCCAACTTGAGTCATCATTATCAGGAATCGTGGTATCAGGGGATGATTGAGAAGGATCTGCTGAGGAAGACTCATCTTGTGGCATGGGACTAATCATTTGGCTACTGTGTTGATAGGTAATAAGAGGCAGTGATGAGGATTTCGGTGTATTTTGTGTGGAATTTTGGGTGTCAGGAGGAGGAGGTACAAATGGCTCCACTAAGGGTATAGGTAGGAGACTTTGGACCGAATTAATATCCTGTATAGAAGAAGGGAAGAAGGGAGTTGATTAAAAAAAAGTGACATTAGCAGACATGTAGTACCTATTGGTTTCAGGAGAATAATATCGATATCCTTTTTGAAGACGAGAATATCCCAAGAAGACACATTTGATGGCTCTAGTTGATAGTTTATCTAAACCTAGAGACATATCATGAACAAAACATACGCAACCAAATACACGAGGAGAAACATGAAAAAGTGGCTCCTTTGGTAATAGAATAGAGTGTGGAACTTTATCTTTGAGAGAAGAAGATGACGTTCTGTTAATGAGAAAACATGCAGTAAGAATAACATCTCCCCAATGATGAGCAGACATATTTGCACCAAGTAATAAGGTACGAGCAGTTTCAACCAAATGTCTGTTTTTTCGTTCTGCTATACCATTTTGTTGTGGTGTGTGAGGACAAGTAGACTGGTGTAAACTTAAGAGAGTGGAGAAATCAGTAGAAAATTATTCTTTGGCATTATCACTTCGTAAAACTTTGATTACTTTTCCAAATTGATTTTTGTTTTCGTTAAGAAAAGACCTAAAGATATGTAATAATTCAGAATGGTCTTTCATTAGATAAATTCAAGTACACCTAGAAAACTCATCAATGAAGGTAACAAAATATCTATAACCAAAGGATGAGACACGACTAGGACCCCAAATATCAGAATGAACAAGAGAAAAGACAGAGTCACATCTAGATTCAAAACATTTAGGAAAAGAGGACCTAGTTTTTCCTAGTTGACATGATTCACATTCAAAATATTGAAGAGTCTGAAGTTCAGGAACTATTTTTTTTAATCTTGACAAGTGAGGGTGCCCTAAACGTTCGTGTAATAGTTTTGGAAACAAGGATGCAACACAGGATACAAATGATTTAGTCCCAAGGTAGTATAAGCCTCCAGATTCATGTCCTTTGCCAATTTGTCGACCCGTACCACGTTCCTGTATAACAAAAGAGTTGACATTAAAGGTTATTGAACAATTCAATAATTTGGTTAATTGACTTAGGGAAATGAGACTAAAGGGACATGAAGGAACAAAAAGAACAAATTTTAAGTTTAAAGATGGAGAAATGGAGATTTGACCAGTTTCTTTAGAGGCTACTTTAGATCCGTTGGCTAAAGTTATGAGATGAGGAGTTTTAGGAAATGAGAGAGAAAAGAACAAAGAGGTATTACCAAACATGTGATCAAAAGTACCTGAGTCAATAATCCATGAATTTTGACTTTTCACAGATTGTGAAATGCAAGCTGTTGATGAATTTGGGGTTGTTGATGGCTGTGCTAGACTATTGGATTTCAACCTCAAATATTCCTGATATTCTTCACGAGAGAACTTGGGTTCAACCATTTCAGATTTGGAAAAATTGATAGTCTTGTCAGGAAAACCGTGCAAAGAGTAACAATTTTTCAAAGTATGACCCATTCTCTTGCAATTAGTGCACTAAGGACGTCCTCTACCTTCACGTCCTCCTTTAGTGCCGCGACTTCCTCTTCCACGAGTATAAATCATAGCAGAAGATTCAACAAGTTCTTGATTATTTTTTTCTTTGAGAGTTGGAGCACGAAACAGTCTTGTAGTCAAACTTTCCATAGGAGGAACTTCTTGTCCAGTTAAAATTTGATCTCTAACATGATCAAATTCTGAATTCATAGCCCGGAGAGTCATAACCATATAGAATTTATCCAACTTTTGTTTTATCTCCTCTAATGAATCCACCTCTAGGAACATTTTTAATTCTTCAACTGCTGATTGAGCTTCAGCAATAAAGGTCATCATATCTTTATCCACTTGCTTGAGAGAGACTAATCGATTAGCAGAATCATAGAGGCGTTGGATATCATTTGTGAAGATATTCTGAGCCTTTTTCCAGAAAGAGTTACATGTTTTGAAGGATCTGATAGTGTTCAAAATATTTTGTTCTACTGATTGCCACAATAGAACATAGAGTTGATAATCAAGCTTTTTCCATTGTTGAGTCTGATATTCTGGTATCATACTTCCGTCTTCTTCTAGATGATCGTAAAACCCTTGTCCAAGGAACCAAAGTTCCACTAAAGAGGACCAAGACATGTAATTTTTTCCATTTTATTTCTCAGCCGTTATAGTGGGAGTTCCGGAAAAGGAGGTTATGGGCCCTGATGACATGTTTTAAATAATGTAGATGTAAGATGGAGACAATGGAACCTTTAAAAAGGAGAACACCCAAGATAGAATTAGATAGAGAGGGAAGTATCAATTTTCACTTTGCAAGAAAACTGACGAATGACAATAATGGATAGCTGTAGTGGAACGAAGGTCGGAAGGTCACTGGAAGGTAGTCGAAAAGTCATTGAATGGCAGCAAAAAAGTGACTGGACGAGGGCTGACGATTGCCGAAAAGTGACTGAAAAGTTGCCGGAAAGTGACTCGACAGTTTCCGGAAAGTGATCGGAAAGTTGACGGAAAGTGGCCGGAAAGTGACCGGAAAAGTGGCTGGATGGTGGTCAAATGGTGGCCGGACAATAGCCGGACGGTGGCCAAACAGTGGCCGGACGGTGGCCAGAAAGACAGAGCAGGACCAACCTGCTCTGATACCAAGTTAAGAGAGTTAAAAGAGGATTTATAATTCAGTGGGATATTTCACTCCACTCTATGATATCATATATATAGGATTACAACATTTAAAACAACAACCACCAACTACTAACTAGTAACTACTAACCATTAATTAATAATAATTCTATCAGGTAT